CTTGCGGTTTTCACAACTGCATATGGTTGCGTCCTTCGCGAGGCTCATTCGATTCCCCAGCAGTCTCGACCCCTCCCGGGGAAGCAGCTTTTCATCCAGAGCTGTTCTTTGACGGTCCTGGAGCCGGCCGGCCAGGGGCCGCCAAGACGGCGAACATTTTCCGTCCTGTTTTTGTTGTTCAACTCGTTGGGTCTCTGGGAGGTGGGGATTGGGGCTCGAGGTCCGAGGGCCCGCGACCGGGCTAGCTCGCGCACCTGGCATCGACTGGGGCCGCCCCGCGGGGCGCAATACCTCGGATCTTCGGGAGGGGGGGATCGGAGCCCGAGCCTACGCCTGGGGATCGATCCCTCAAACACCTGGGATCGACTGTGGGCGCCCCGCTGGGCGCACCGCTCGCGGGAGCGGAAGCCAGGCGAATATGCCCTGGGCAAGCCGCGAGCCCAGACCCTTCCGCGTCGTCGCAATCCCAGACGTGCTCGCTTCGTGGAAAAAACCCGGGCGTGAGGTTTTTTTTTGTCGCCCTCCCGGGGCCCTCGCCGGGCTCTGGGGCCGTCAGATATTTAGCCGGAGTGAGACACTGGCCCTGAGAAAGGGTCGAGACTTCGGGGACCACGTGTTGAACAAATCCGGACACCGCATTGCTTGGAGCACCACGACGGGAGGTTTTCGGCTGCGTCCAGGTTTGGGGGCCCTCTCGCCGGGCTACGGAGCCGTCGAGCAAGAATTACCCAGGATACAAGCCAGACCCGGGGTGCCGTGATCATCCGATCTTGAAGTGATGTGGTCGGAAATGGCGCGTTCTGTGGGCCGGGCGCCCAACGGGGAACGGGGTGGGGCTTGGCATTCAAGTGGATGGGGGGGTTCGAACTGGGAATGCCTCCCCCCCCAGGCCGACGACGGCGAGCCCCAGCGCCAGCGCCGGCGCCGTCGGGAAACGATTACGACGATTGAGCCTTCGCAGGATGCTACTAAGGCTGGCTCGAGCCCAGGATTCCTGAATGATTCCTGCGGGTTTCTCTGGATTCCTGCATGAGATCTTGGGATTCCTAA